CACAGTGTGGGCTTTGTATTGAACTCTGATTCAAATGTAAAGTGTTTATTGTCTGATGGGAAATCTTCTCAGTCCTTAACCTGCTCACGTTATTCAGCTTGTTCATCATGTGCACCATCCTGACAAACTGCTGCTTCATGGCCATGTCCGAGCCGGAGTACTGGGCCAAATACCTGGAGTAAGTACACCTGGGAACTTTTCTTTCTTCTTCATAGAAATTTACATTTAATCGATGATATTACTGGATATGCATTTCTTTCAAGTCATAGTAGCTATTGCAAAGTAATTCGAGGTAACAAAGGGAAATGGTTTGCAAATTTTAGTGTGTTTTTGTGTCAGTCGCAGACCCTTAAACTAATATGCTGTTAATGTTCAAAGTGCACTTACGATGCTGCTGAATGTGCTGAATTTGCAGCACATTCAGGGATCATTGGAAAAATGCATATTTTTGGTGAACAGACCCTTTAACATACAGTAGTTCATCGCTGGCTTCCAGCTGTGGAGGCTGCAGCTGCTGCAGCTGCTCGGTCAGGCCTAACGTGACAGACTCTCGGCGCTCCTGCCTGTCTTTGTACGCTTGAATTGTCACGAGTCGGGTCAAACTTGTTTCTGGGGACAAAATAAATAAGTGAAGGATGTGTGGTGGAGAGTTTTATGAATATTTATCCTGGCTCTCTCTTCCACCCGTCCGGCTTTCTTTCTTTTCTTCATTTTGTCTTTGTCCTTCACTTCTTCCACATCCGTAACTTTCTCTTTCTTTCTGCCCCTGCTCTTCGTCTGGACAAGCATTTGTCGTATTTTCTTCCTTTACCTTGTTACCGTCCAGTTCTGTGCCCTGATCCTTCCTCTTTTTTCTCTTTTTATGATCCTTTCTTTTATTTTTGCTGTTTCTTTTCTATCCTTTTCATTTTGTTTCATCGCAACACGACTCCCTTCCCCTCCAATACTGATAAACGTTATCATCCCTCTTTCAGGTACACCTTCACAGGTATCTACACGTTTGAGTCTCTCATTAAGATCCTGGCCAGAGGTTTCTGTGTGGGCCCGTTCACCTTCCTGAGGGACCCCTGGAACTGGCTCGACTTCAGCGTCATTGTCATGGCGTGAGTCAAACACACACACTCACACACACATAGTATTATATAAAAGCTCAAAAGATTTAAAGTGAGGGTTGTTATAAATGAATGCCATGAACAGCTGTAATTAATCAGTAAACGTCCTGCATACTGCAGTACAGAGAGAGGATCTCACTGCTGTGACCACCCCTTGCCTTTTAAAGAGCACCAGTTCTCCTGAGTGAACTTTCACACAGTATTTTGTCTGAACTTATTCTTTATGACGCTGCCTGGATGTTTGGGCTCTTTGTGCTACTCTAGAATAAATTTGGGACCAATCAAATGCCTTCCTGATAGATTTGCATGTGGTTACGTGTACATACTTACGTGTACGTGCAGATGGAGGTCAGCGTCTTCATGAATAGCTCTTCGATTGTGATTGTGAACCTGCACAAAAAACTGCAAATCGTGTTTACATTTACTGAAACCACTGAAACTCATAGGTAGTCTACCGAATGGACCAAAAAGTCACAGG